GTTACCACATAAACCTTTTAGAATCAATGAAATTTTTAGGAAAATACAACAAAATGAAAACATTATTAAGACTTTCAGTAGGCAATCAGCTAAATCATAGGAATGGGCTTTGCCAACCTACCCTAGTTCTCTGTACCATGTGGTCACTTCTATAAAGTGAAAATAAGTTAATTTCCTGTTTTGTGTGCAGAGAGACAACAAAAGCTCGGAACAGTTTAGTTCAACAGTTTACTGTAGTTCAACATTAAATTCTGACAAATTTAATTTCTCTAAATTAATTCTGACAAATTAATCTAGAGAAAACTGAAAAAAAAGTCTTGCAAAAGTAATTCAATGCTTTTACTGTAGAGCCATGGTATTTACAACAAAGTTGTATACAGAATTGAAATAGAAACTGAAACATGATAAAATGTTAATTTGAAATATAATATAAAGGGTGATGGATTGGGAGAGCCATGCATAATTCATTCATGTCACTAGCAGTGTTTATCTAACTGCGCTCCAACTGGACTGATTTTTATTTATTTATTTTTTGGGGGCTTTTGATTTTTCCTATGCAGCTGTTACATCAGTTCTTTATCAACATGTATAGAAGAAGGAATCAGTTAGGAGTATGGATATTTGTGTTCAATTGATAGATAAAAGTAAAAAGTGTTAAGAAAAATAAAAATGCTTGGATTAAATAACCTAAGCACATTAGCAAAGTATCTAAACTTCAGTTTAAATACAGTTTCTTGATACCTCTGGAACCAAGGACTAAGAAACAAGGAATAAACATCCATACAAACACAACCAGGGTTGTTGAATCTTACAAAGAAGAAAACTAACTGCATTTTTTTTTTAGCAAACTGCCAGCAGATATCCAGTATAAACACAAGCATTTTCTGTAAAACATAAATGAATTGCACAAAAACAGTTGGCAGGCAATTTGTGAGCTTTTGACATTTTAACATTTACGAACTGGCCCTCTCTGTGTGGACTGTAAAGAGCTCAGGTCAGAGATGATCTACTCCGGTTCTCCATCTCACCCACTTTTACAGGAGAGGGGATTAATAAACTTGACATGACAAAGTGAAAACAGCCCGCTAATGTGATTCCAGCCATTACTGCTCTCCGAAGGAGATCCCGCGCCAACGTTATTGGATAGTTGCAATACTCTCTCTGTCTGCTGACCCCTGATGTGTTTATCTCCCTCCAACTGATCCCAGTACCGCTATGCTAAACTGGAGCAGCCATCTCAGTTCGGAGGAGAGCTATGTTATCTTCATGGCAGGCAAGAGGAGTCCTGTGAGGTTTCAGCCCGCTACACCTGTGATAATATTCCTCATTGTGAGGGATTCCTCTGCACACAAACAGGTACATCCTACTGCTTTCCCCAGTGCCAATTTAATAATAATATCAATAGACCTATGATCATTTTTTTTAAGACATGATTATTTTATAATCCATTTATGTTTATTTAATGGACTCCAGCTGTGTTTTGTTCCTCTGTACCTCCAATAAAAACCGGTTCTCCAAAACATTTACACAGGGCACTGAATGCAAGCAGACATTTTCAGGTTTCAGTTTAAAAACAAATTTATTTTTTCCTCCAGTTTACAATTATAGCCTTTTGTAGTCTTTAACAGGACAATAATGGATAATTTTTCAAAGCAATGTAACAACATTAAACAGTTTCTTTATTGTAGTAGCTCTTTGTTTACATTTTATAGCTTGCCATGATTATACTCCTTCTGAATATTTAAATCAATAATGACCTAAAAGATATATTCTTTCATCTGATATTCAGCACACTTCATTTTAAGAAAGAGCTGAAAGTTAAATCTCAGTTCTGCCATGACCATACCAGTTGACAAGTACTTCAAAAGATTCACCAAAATGTAATTTCTTTTAAAAAAACGTGTGTGCTGGACTGAGCAATTAAATACATTGAGGCACAGGCTCAACTTAAAAACTCCCTAACGAACTGGAATCAAACCACCTCTTACTCAAACAAACAGACCTACTTAAAGAGACAAATGAGGACTCTTAAATAGTAGCTGATCATCCTACACTGACAAAAAAATAGAGGTCAGACAAACAAAAACTAACCGGAAAAAAAAAATCCCAGTTCAAAACTCAGGGTAACTTTATCCATTTATCCATCCATCTTCCCTCTGTTCGCGGGGGTAGCACCTTCAGTAGGGAGGCCCAGAAATCCTTCTCCCCAGCCACTTGGGCCAGATTCTCCGGGGGAATCCCAAGGCGCTCTCAGACCAGCCGAGAAACATAGTCCCTCCAGCATGTCCTGGGCCTCCTCCCGGTGGGACGTGCCTGGAACACCTCACCAGGGAGACGTCCAGGAGGCCTCCTAACCAGATGCCCGAGCCACCTCAACTGGCTCCTGTCGATGGGGAGGAGCAGCGGCTCTACTCTGAGTCCTCCCTGGATGACTGAGCTCCTCACCCTATTTTTAAGGGAGAGCCCAGACACACTACGGAGAAAACAAATTTCTGCTGCTTGTATCCGGGATCTCTTTTCAGACCAGTACAGTGCACGCCTCACAGCAGACGCCGCACCATTCTGACTATCGATCTCCCTCTCCATCTTCCCTTCATTCGTCAACAAGACCGCAAGATACTTAAACACCTCCATACATCTTCCCCAACCTGGAGAAGGCACTCTACCCTTTTCCAGCTCAAGACCATGGTTTCGGATTTGGAGGCACTGATCCTTATCCCAACTGCTTAACACTCTGCTCAGTACCACTCAAGTGAGAGCTGTAGATCATGCCCTGATGAAGCCAATATAACCATATCATCTGCGAATAACAGAAACGCAATCCTAAGGCCACCAAAACGGATCCCCTCAACACCTCCGCTGCGCCTAGAAATTCTGTCCATAAAAGTTATGAACAGAATCGGTGACAAAGGGCAACCTTGGCGGAGTGCAACCCTCACCGGAAACGAGTCTGACTTACTGCCGGCAATGCGGACTAGGCTCTGACAACGGTCATACAGAGACCTAACAGTCCCTTTTAAAGGTCCTGGTACTCCATACTCCCAGGGTACCCCCCCACAGGAACACGGTCGAATGCCTTCTCCAGATCTACAAAACACGTAGACTGGTTGGGCAAACTCCCATGCACCCTTCAGGATCCTCCCAGGGTAACTCAAAAAACAAAAGAGAAAGAATAAATATAAACATAAGAGGGTAAACTAAAACCTGTGCTCTCCTTTTAGAAAGCAATGCTATGTTATTGTGTGAATCACTTTATGTTAAAAATAAAAAAAAAACAATTCCTCATTAATAAGGAAGTACAAGTTAATCCTACATTTAGATATTCCATATTTAAAGAAAGCAAATTGCAAGAATAGTGAAATATGTCATTTTAGTTTGTTTGATTGTAGTTGCTACCATCAAAATGAGAACCAACCCCAAATAGAAAAACAAGGACATAAAGAAATATAAGCTATAAAACTATAAGAAAGATCTTTACTGGCCTCTTCCAGGTCGATGTATCCACAGAACCCTGCAGTGTAATGGAGAGGACGACTGTGGGGACATGTCTGACGAGGCTGGCTGTCAGAGGGTTTCCAAGCCCTGCAGGGAGGAGGCTGAAGAGTACTGGGGAATTGAAAATCTGGCCAAAGGGTGAGTCCCTTGAAATGAACAGATTACCGTTTTGTCAAACTCTTGAATATTTCTATATAGAAACAATAACACTGCTGCTACTTTCCTTTCAGGATAAATGTCCTGAACAGCCACTTGGAAGGCATTGTGTTGGATAACAGATACTATGGAGGTGGCTGCCTGCCTCACTACATTCAGGATGTCCCATTTAGGAAGCCATTCAACTTGCAACAGTACACGTTACAGGTCAAATTTTCTGTAAATTTCCCTCAAATTTATGTCCAACTGAAACATACAGCAGTTACCACATAAACCTTTTAGAATCAATGAAATTTTTAGGAAGATACAACAAAATGAAAACATTATTAAGACTTTCAGTAGGCAATCAGCTAAATAATAGGAATGGGCATTGCCAACCTACCCTAGTTCTCTGTACCATGTGGTCACCATTAGCTTCTTTTCAGTTTGGTTTACACCGAAATAAACTCCTGAAATGATCAAAAATCCTTAAAAAAATATTTTAAGCTTTTAAAGCTTTCAGTTTTAGAAAGTTGAGTTGTGTTCCAAGTTTAGGAAGCTAAGCATATTGGACGTGATGTGGGGAAGCTGATGTCCTTTCCTCTCAGATGAAAGCTTCCAGTCTCTGATATCTCAGTGTTTCTAGACTCAGAAAACTCTTAAGATAGTCTGTTACGCAGAGTCTAGTCCTGAGATTTACCATAGGCCAACTTAACTTTGGCAGTCAAAGGGTTCTAATTCACGTGGCCTGCATGGCCTTCCAATCACTAGGTCTCTCCAATATGGCTGATTCAAGACCAGTTGCAAAAACAGATGATACAAGCATAAAGCAGCTGCCTTGTTCTCAGTTGCATGTCCCTGTGGGAGTGTTTTGTGATGGTCTCATAACACTGAGATTTGCAGCAGTCAGAGAGGCGGGTACTGCCTCTTCCTTCACCAATGTTAAAACAAAAATTTGCCTAGACATTGGTCCTCTATGTTCAGAATTATTACCATGGCTTATGGCATTACAATGTGAATGTAATCCAGTAATGTTCTTCTGCCCACAGACAAGTGGGTCATATGATTTTACCCTGCAGTCATTTGAGTCGTACTCTGACTACATGGCATACACTCATAGGGAACGGATGACCCAAACTTCTATCTCAATTGGCTTCAGCATTCCAGGTGTTTTCAGTTTTGGTTTTAACTACAAGGATTCTAAGTTCTCCAAATCAGTCAGCAAGATTCGACGTGCCTCTGGAGTTGTGAGTTCACTCCTACTGTATGAATGTTCTTTAAACAGCCCATTAACATCCATGTTGTGTTCCTGGAAATGTGAAGTTCTCTTTTATTCTCCAAATTAGCCAGCAGACATTTACCTACTCTTTCAAATCTCAAGAAAAACAGTTTCATTAGAGCCAAAGCCGAGCTGGAGTTGGCCCAGTACATCCTGAAGTCTGACGGGTTGGTACTTCACCCTGAGTTCCTACAGCGCCTTCGCTCCCTGCCACAGGCATATGTCTACGGAGAGTACAGACAGATCTACAGAGATTATGGCACCCACTACATCACTGAGGCTACCCTAGGAGGAGACTTTGAGCACACAATCATCCTGAACAAAGAGAAGCTAGAGAAGTCAGGTTAGGAGTGTTTTTTTACTCTGGATTACTGTAGAAAACATTTCCTTGAAACCTGGAAAATTGTCTAGATTCATTCTGCAAACAATTAGGTCACACCGATTTAGTAAGTAATATTAATTGCTCTCTATTTTGTCATTCCAGATTATAATTTGGACCAGTATAAGTCTTGTGTGCAGGCAGGCTTGCATATCGGGTTGACCATTTACGAGGTTCCCTTTTCTCTTGGGGTGAATGCTGGATCCTGTAAAGGCTTACTGAATGAGATGGGAGGTGGGAGTCTATTTCTGCTATAACAATACACATAACTCGCTGGTTTATACCAAACCAAACGTTTTTCTGTGTGTCTCTAGAGGACACAAAGAATGGGATAATGGTTGAAGATTTTGTTGCCATGGTGAGGGGTGGAAATAGTGAATCCATCACTGCCCTGTTGTCTACGAAACTTCCCGGCCCACAGCTGATGAGGCTCTGGGGTGAAAGCGTCCGCTTTAACCCAGACTTCATTCGCATGACAGTAGGTTTAAGCTTTTGTCTAATGTAATTCATGATTCCTCCTATTTTAGTGGCATTTACAGTATATGTATTGCTCTCCTCTGACATTACCAAGGTCAATACATTTATGGGTGTGTGTTTCTCCATTTTGATCCTAAATGAATCAATGATCCTAAAGCTGAGAATAATTACTGTAATCAGACAGTTTGAAGCACAGCTAGCATCAGCACAGTCACAGAATTTAAGTACTACTGAAACGGATTAGTGGTCATTTGAAGAGCAAGCAACCACACTTTCTGAGCAGGAAGTATGTCGGAGACAAATCAGCTTTGTTTTTCTTACATAGTGTGGTTTATAAGTAGTGTTTGGAGGGTTCTTGGGCTGGAACAAATAAATATTTGTCTCACTTCCAGATTGTTTGACCAGTAGAACAAGAAGCATGTGATATGATCCAACAATGCTATGTGTATCACCAGACCCGGCCACTGTATGAACTGGTGACTTCCAGAGACTTCGTCCATGGCGACATCTTGAAGAGAAACTTGAAGAGAGCGCTGTCTGAGTACCTGACTGAGACCAGCTCCTGTCGCTGTTCTCCATGTCGTAACAATGGAGTGGCTGTTTTAAAAGGTAGAACTTTTTTGAAAGTTTCAAAAAGTTCCCTAACCCTTCCAAAAAGAAATCAGACATGTCTTGAAATCAGTGTCATACTAAGTATTGAGTTTACAATTTTTATTTCAAGGGATTTTTTTTATATGTGGGGCTGTACAGTGCCACAGTTTGTGGCGTTGTTGCCTTGCATCAAGAAGGTTTGATTCCAGGCCCAGGGTCTTTCTGCATGGAGATTGCATGTTTGCATACATGGGTTCTCTGCGGGTACTCCAGCTTCCTCCATTAGTCCAAAAACATGACTGTTTGGTTAATTGGCCTTTCTAGATTCTCCTTGTGTGTGCATGGTTGTATGTCTCTGTGCCTCTCTGTGTTGCCCTGTAACAGATTGGCCTCTCACCCATAGACAGAATAACTGGGAGAAGCTGGAAGGATGGATAGTTTTTATGTCACTGATATTAGGTTAAGCAATCTCATTAGGGACATCTGTATCTTGCTCTATAATTGCTGGAAATAGGCACCAGATCTTAGTAAATCCTTACCAAAGACAGAAAAGGGATGCTCCAAGAGAATGACTGTTTAAAACAGACTCAAAGGTAACTTAACTTTTCTTTGTTCCCTCCAAATGTCTTCTGGGTGTAGCCTTCCTTTTATTTCTTTACCAAGGGCCTGGTCAATAGACAGTTATTTGTGTGAATGTTTATGTGTTTACATGAGATCATTGTTGACTCCCTCTAGTGGCCGGGAGATCTGTCATCAAGCTGAGCTAGTTTGCAACTTTTTTCAACTTTAGTTTAGCTACTTAGAGCATTTTTACCCTTCACATTTGTTTTGTTTGTCTGTGGGTCAGTTTCACTTATGTCTTTTTCAGTGTCTGCAACACGTTTGCATTTTGCTTCTTTGTTGACTGTGATTGCAGCATTTTTTTGGGCCGGTATTTTGTTTAATCCTCATTTTTGTGTTTGCAGGCTTTTTTTTTATTTATTTGCAGCACATTCGCACCTCTCAGTGCCCATTTATAACCTGATGTAAGGCAAAGGTCAAGTTATTTTGTGTTTGATTAAAACAAAACCACAGACTTTCCATGAAAATCACTGATTAAAACCTGAAATTTCTATTCGAAGTTGAAATATAGAATTGATAGTAGTGAAACTGGAATTTCAATACAAGGAAATACATCCTTAAAACAAATAAATTCAGTAACAATCCATTATTTTTGATTTACATTTAGTAAAATGAATCAGAATCCAAAACATTTCATTTCTAATTTTGTGAAAACAGATTCAGGCTGAGGAGTTCAAATTCAGTTTATAACACTGAGAGGTGTCCATTGTTATTTCAGGTGCTCATGTCTCACCACAAATAAGCCCTTTAGCTGCTGACAAGCTGTCATTTTCCACAGTTAATCAAGTCCTGAACTGACATTGACTGAAATACCCTTGAAGGTGTCTAAGTCGTTACTCCACAAACAAGACAAAAAGCTTGATTACACTTCATAGAGACACTCAGTGTATAAATGTATATTATTTATTGACTATAATATTTTCTGCATATTTCCAATGGTCGGAAGGAGGATGAAGCAGTAGTTAGCACTGTTACCTCATGGCAGGTCCTGTATTTTACTCTTAGCCTCACCTTTTCATGGAGCTTTCATGTTCTTCCCATTAATGCCTGAAACATCTCAGGGTACTCTGGCTTCCTCCAGCAGGTAAAAAACAAAAACCTCAACCTGTTTGCTCAAATGATCTCTTTAAGTAACCCCTGTAGGTTTGTGTATTCATGCTTAATTGTCTTTCTTATGCATCTCTATTGCCTTGTTATGGACTACTGGTCAATCCAGGTTCTGTGCTGGAGATTTCTGCAAGTGGACTGGTAGAACTAAAATAAAAAACAGATGCCATCATGAATAATAAAGAAATAAAGAGGAGATCCCACAAGACATTAACGAGGAAGGTTGAAGTCTTGATATGTAAAAAGCTTGTAGGACATCTAAAACAATTTAAACTAAATATTTTTAAATTCCTACATTTTGAGGCAATGTTGCCATAGGAAAAAAAAAAACTCTGCATGCTTGCATTGTAGCTTTAGAAAATTAAATTAGCAAAAAAAAAAAAAAAACAATTGGTTTTCCTACGTTACCTGAACAGGTTGCATTTGCTGTTCTTTATTTTCTTGCACATATAGATAAGGATAAAACGTTTTTAGTGTAGGAAGCATCTGCTTTTAAATCTTTTTTTGATCTCTTCTATTACTTCCAGAAATGTAAAAACTACCTACCTTCATTTTACCATAATAATGAAATTAGAAGATTTAATCCAAAACCAAATGCCAATCTAATTTCAGAGATTGCAGAAATAATAATGTCTGCTTGCTCAACAGGCACCAGATGTGAGTGTGTGTGTCCTTCTGGCTATAGTGGACGGAGCTGTGAGATCACTTATAACCCAAAAGGTCAATGAAGCCAAAACCTCCAAATATTTTCCCAACGTGGCACATATTTGATCATTTATGCACCCTATCAACGCACCGAGATGTGACAAAAGGCATGATTCTTTATTGTAGAGCTGGGCATCGATGGCAGCTGGAGCTGTTGGGGAGCGTGGTCATCTTGCAGCGGGGGGAGAATGACCCGCAGTCGTCAGTGCAACAACCCGCCACCAAGCAGCAGTGGCCTCCAATGCATGGGCCTGCAGCAGGAGTCCACTGAGTGCTTTTAAAATCACTATTACTCACAGGTTCACAGATGAATAAAGTATTTTACTAAATAACAGAGATGTGGTATGGTGATTTGTATTTGAATGATTTGTCGAGGGTGAGAATGTTAAACCATCAGGGCTGTATCTCATCTTTTTCTTTCATTGTATTACCTAGCAAGGTGTTTCTTAGGCTCTAATCTTGATAAAGCTTCTGTTACCTGAATTTCACCTTGAGACAAGCAAATGATAAAGGAGTGAATATCGCATTTAGTCCAATCAATTGTTTTAAAATGAATAGGAGCTCACATTCTTCACAACACTTTTATTTTTATTTCTATTATACAACAATAATGATCTTTTATCCTTGCTTTAGCTTTAATTTGTTAGAAAAAGGATGATCCTTTTAGCATTGACGAGTCTGAGAGGCTGACCCCAGGCAAGTCGCCCCACCCCTCTCTGGTGCAGGATTATTGCAGATTCTTGTCCTGGTTTTTGTCCCTGATGAACAGGAAGACCATGACCCCCAGCAGGACCATGAGCCGTCCGTCTTGGCATCTGTCAGATAAAAACATTACTTTTAATGTGACCTTGGTTATGGGACATTTCTGAAGGCAATAAGGAAAGAGATTTGGTTAAGAATCTGCATAAATCTGGGTGATTGCTTTTTAAACTTTTCTTCTTTACTTGAATAACTAGGTTTACATCTCATAATATAAATCAGTAAGACCATCTTCAATAAGCTACCAACTGTTGGAGTAAAGGATTGCTGGACAAAGACCAAACGTTCTCAATCATAATCTGAAAAGATGATGAAAAGTTCAAATAGATACTGTTGGTTCCTAGACAAAAAACTATGATCATAAAGTCGGAGCGTGAGAAATCCTCTAAATGCATATGATGAGGCTAATAGTCAAAGCTATAAAACATCAAATTTACTAACAGCATGAACTGTGATTAGTTTTTAAGCACCTCTTATTTGTTTTTCTCCAAGCTTCCTTCAGGTCTTTTAAAAGATAAGATCACTTTCAGGCATTATTTCACATTACCGGTCAGACTAAAGTGCAAAGGTGGGTAATACTAAGCGGTTAAACTTACTTGAGTAACAATAAAAAGAAATTTACTTTTAGCTGTAGGTTTACTGTGCTGTACTTTTTACTTTTAGGCTACTTGAGTTATATTCTTGTAATGTATTTCTACTCCTACTGTACTTGAGTGAAATCTCTGACTACTCTGTCCTCTGTGAGTAATTTGAACTATTCCAAAAGTAGCTAAACATACAGTTAGTGAACAGTATACGTATATCAACAGTGGAAGTTTGTTACCCTGTTCTAACATATATACATTTTTTGTTGTAAGGATTGGTTTTCTAAGTTTTATATTGAAACAAAAATTTATAAATTCTTCTGTATGAATTTATTTTATATTCATGACACATATTTTTATTCTTTAAGCATTTGAGTCTTTGAAATGCCAGCACTTCCATATAAAGTCTGTTTTTAGCATCATTTATAAACATTAAATCTGTTGTTGTGTGCAACATTTATTCAGTACTTAAGTAGCCTTTCTACCAAATTCCTTTTTACTTTTACTTGAGTAAAATAAATATTAAAGTAGTGCTACTCTTACTTGAGTCCAATTTCTACCAAAGTGTTAATCTTACTGTGTTATCTTCTGTATTTGTGTCTTTATTCAAGTGATATATGGACAAATTCGGTCTTTGTTACAAGATAATAGTAATAATGTCAGGGTTAGTGGATGTTTGTTAAGGACTCAAATGCAGAGATGGATTCTTGGAGATTTAATGCGGAGGTTATGATAGGAGGAGATGGAAACAGAAGCATAAATCCATAAATAACAGGCAGGGAACTCAGGAACCAAAGCAAGGAGACACTCGGGAGAAACATATATAAGGAATGAAGATACTCCAGCAATGAGGAACTGCAGAGGGGAGACACAACAATGAATGGAGTAATCGACTAATTGGACGGAAGCAGCTAGAAGAGCGCTAAGAGGAAAGGAGAGGGGCACTGGGTGGCAACAAAGAGTAACCAGAGGAAAACAATGGGGCTAGGGAGAACTTAAATGACACGAAAGGGAACAGAAGCTAATGACAAAGACTACGTTCACACTGCAGCCTTGAAGTGACTCATATCCAATTTCTTTGCACATATGCAACATGCATCTGATCTTTTTATGACAGTGTCAACAACACAGATCTGATTTTTATCAATGTGACTCAGACCATTTGAGGTCCTGAATCCGATATGTATCTGATCTTTCCAAATAGGACCAGTGTCTGAACAGCCAGGTGGCATTCATCCGACCTGTACACCTTTAATACTCAGAAAAGGTCAATATTCTGGGTCTTGTACACAGAAGCGGGAAGAAAAAAACCATGCTGGTGGACGATAATACGAAGATTTTCAACCAGCTTGAAAAGATTGTGTTGTTATTGTACTAGCTGAGGTTGGGTAATATCTCTAGATGCACTCCAGCATTATCATTCATGTTTACTTCCGTAAACACGAAGCATGCTTGCTTGTGACATCATAGCATCCTCTACTGCGCATGTGGGATACTTAAGCTGTATGAATGCATTTCCCTCAGGAGATCACATACAGGTCACATATATTTGGAAATGTAAACAACCACGCAAAAGATTCGGATTTCACAAAAACATCGGAATTGAGCATTAAATAAAGCCTGGACTGTGAACATAGCCTAAGAAACACAGAGTGACCAAAAGGGAAGAGTAGAGGATGGGGAAGGGGCTGAAGAAATTTGATAACTAATCTGCACTGGAAAAATATAATCTAAAGATAAAAAATAACCGTTCATAAGAAGTATTGATTAAATGAATAAGAGGAATGTTAAAAAAAAAAACTAAAATAAACACCAAGAAAGAGTAAACTATGAAATAAATACGAAAGTGCAGTCATTTGATAAAAATCTTAACAGCAACTCAGGATAACCAAAATCAAAGCAAACATGAAAACAGAACCAAAAACTCCAGAGAAGTAGATATGAAAAACAGAAAGCCTTACAAATAAATCTGAGTAGTTTTCTATGATGCTTTGACTTGAAAACTTGAGTCTAGGGCAGTTTTTAATGCCTCTTGGATTTAATCAGCAGATATGGGATTTAAACCAAAAGAGTCTGGTCATTAAAAAGGTCAGATACTAAACCCATTAACTCAGGTGATAAAGTATGCTGTGTCAGAAAGTTCACTTAAAACAGGAACAGAGGCAGAAGTTCCAACAAACACTTAAAAAAAAGTGTTTTGAACATTTGGTGAAGCTTTGATAACAACAACATTGAAGCAAAAGAAAAGAGGTGACTAATACTTCCTCATGAAGAGATAAACTGAACAGAAAATTATAGTTAATCTCATGGTGAATTGAGCTTTTCCTGGAAAACAAATAGGGTTTTCAAAAGAACTCTGCTCTGTCTAGAAAATGAAAGATGGGCAGATGATTAGCTGGATTTGTTTATTTATTTATGATGACATGGAGGCCTTTACGGTAAACTAGGAGCAATGCTGGTTTACTGTAAGAGGCTGTTGTGCTGCCAGTTAAAGGAATAGTACACCCAAAACATGATTAGCCTTCATTTTCTACTCACCCCCATGCTGAACAACACTCTGGAGTACTTTTTTGATATCTCAAAAAGTAGTGTATAGGAAATCCTATACACTACTT